CTCTTCATCAGCATTTGAATGCAGGAAGTCTCTTTTGAGAAGAGCAACAAGTGAGTCCCAATTCTGCACAATAGTTTCAACACTACGAAACCACACGAAGGCATCACCTTCAAAAAGCTCTACAGCTGATTCAAATAGGTTGCTTTCTGATACTTTTCGTGACTGAGCTAATTCAGTAACACGTTCCAAAAATTCATACAAAGTTCTAGAATCTCCATTGAATTTTATTCCCCAATTTGAAATAGGAACTGTATTTTTAGAACAATTAATTACTTGAGGTGCTGCATTTACTACAGGAGGAGTGACATTATTTACAATTGGTGTTTCATTAATCTTTACATAACCATGAAGATCAGCTTCTAAAGTTAGAGAAGTTGCAAAAGATTCTGACTTAAATGTTCTAAAATCATTGAGTATATTTTCAGCTACTCTCCCTTCGATAAGTAAAAATTTATCTAATCTATTGATTCTATTGGTCACATGACTCAATCTAGACTTTGTTCTTCGAAAAATATTATCATTGGGATCTCCAATATCAGCAAAATCAATAATATTGGCAGCAATCTGTGTAAAAGTTCTATTAATTTCATTCTGTTCTTTAACAAAATCAAAAGCATAATTATTTAAATCCACTGTACAATCAGGAGTCGCTTGCTCTCTTTCCAAAAGTCTTCTTAGCATTTTGCGTTTATCCGAAACGACACGTGTAGTAGTAACCCTACGAATAGCTAGTTCATACTCCAGTTCATAATCAACCAAATGGTTGACTTTAAAATTTCCAAGATTCATATTGCCAAAATATTTTCAAAAATAAATACTGAACTTAACTACACCCTGTATAGAATTCAACTGTCCCACCCTGTACTCCAGGTTCACCCTGTATTTCAACAAAAAAAATTGTAAGACAGTGTCAGCTTTCCAAAATATCGAAAATTTCACCAAAGAAATTATATGTTACAAATATTAATACTCAATATTTCAATATAAACTCAATGATCAAAGTTGAATTTCAACTGAGAAATTCCAATAAGAAAATCTATATCAGATTTTAGCAAAAACTGTTTCTGGTAATTCTTACTCAAGAAAACAAACTCAAAGTTTAAATGATTATTCAAATCAAAAATTGACCATCACTTTTGATGCCAAAAAAAAAATAATGTGTATCTCGAATACAACATAAACGAACGTTGACCATCCTAGTTTGAATGTCAAAATGAAATTTCTATATCAAATATAGGTATAGCTATAAATCAAGTAAGTGATTCCTAAAGTGAAGAATCCAACTCAAAATTGATCAAATATTGACCATCTATGTAGATGCCAAAAAAAATTTGCATTTCAATACTGAAATCACAACTAAATGAATTTTAGAAGTCAAGATCGTCACCTTGAACTTCCTATATGAGATTAACTCTCTGCATAAAAGAAAAATAAATTTCCAAAACAAAAATATTGAATATCAGCTATTGTGGCTGATTTAAATTCAACAACTAAATTCAAAATATACTGCAAAAAAGGTTGTCAGTTTAGTGAAGTTGCTGAGATTTTATTTTTTCAAATATATTCAATGAAGTAAAAAAAAATAACAGCAATATCTATAAACCACCAAAACATAGACATATTTTAGAAGTATGTAATTTACTTCTAATAGGCACCATAAAAAGATAAACAAGAAAACAAATATGACAAAAATTTCACCATGTATCTAAGAATGTAAATATTAATTGTACTGTGAAGCAAACTTTTGAAAATGTAAAATATCTATTTTTTTTATTTTACTGGTTCTCCTCTTTTTAAAAAATATATTTTATCAAACAAACAAGCAATCAAGCAAGCAGGAAAGCAGGCCCAACACGTTGAGGCGCTATTTTGTGTAATGTTTTTTTTGTTATCAAACAAAGAGATATAGAATATAACAAAAATATTCCCATGCTAACGGCAGCTTTTCATCGGCGGCATATGGGTTGTGAGTTTATTGCTTATGAGTTTTATTTTGATTGATGATATTAAGTAGATTAAATTATTGAATAAAGAAAATGACAAAGTTACAAAAAATGAATACTACAAATTTTATTTGGACGCCACTGATTCTTTCAAGCTATGTTCTGCTTTGGATAAAAATCAGAAACCTGAAAAGTGGGAGTTGAACCATTAGTAAAATAAAAAAAAATAAACAGGAATTTTACCTAAGAGATCTAATATAATTGTCATTTGAAAATATATACACTACCTATCCAAGATGTGTATGTAGATATAAATGCATATATACTATGTATGTAGATATAAATGCATATATGATATGTATGTAGATATAAATGCATATATGATAATTATGTATGTACAATAATTATTTACATGGTTTTGTTGAATGATTATCAATTTTGGAGAATTCAATGAAATGTCAATTTAAATATTCATTATGCATAAGATCAAAAAGCCCACTTGAAACTCACCTATGTTTTCAAGATGTTAGAAAAATAATATAGTATTAAATATACCCTGGGGAAAATTCATGAATTTTGTTGAAGGTGTAAATGTTGTTAATGAATAATATATGTACCTATGGTAACTTGTGAATGTTCAGAATGGCTTGAACATTATCAATGTTGTATAAATTATTTCATATTCAAATTATGTCATTATATTATGTAGATCCAAAATCAATTCAACATAAAAAGAAATGAACATGATACGATTGGCCTGTTAGTTAGTTATCCAACGTTGATCCACTGATCCATGGCATGGTCGAAACGTAACAAAATCTGCTGCTGCAGGTGTCTTCCAAGAAGAAAAAGGTGAGAATAAAATTTGTCTATTCTTCTTATGGTGCTAATGCTACTGGGAAGTTCCCAATGGTGCTTTAGCACCTACAAGTGACCATCACGTGGTCTTTGGTCGCAACAAGGGGGCCCACAGTGCTCTCTGGTAGCACAGGGGACTGATTTGACGTGCCTCTATCGAAATGGGTGTCCAAGGAATGCATTATATCAAAAAACCCTATAAGAAACGAGACCTCTTGTTCATCTGAACCAAGAAACAAAAAACGTGGTGCAACTTACCTCTAGATCCAAGAGGGTTTTCCAGACAAATCAATGATAATATAGTGCCGTTAACTGGAAACATCTTTATGGCTAAAATTAACGATGCCCACCGCATCCTTCAACAGGAAAATAAACTCTGAAAGAGTTTAATGAATCGTGGCAAAGCACGAAGCACGAAGCACGACCTCTCTACTCGCCCAGTGCCAAGATGGAGATGACGGAAACGAGCTTTCCGGAAATATTCCAGACAAGATATCCCCACTCAAGCAATATTCAACGAGACCACTCCAGACAGCAGGTGACTATGTAGTCAGGTGAAAGTGAAACGACACGAACTTACACGAACTTTCTGTAAGCAATCAACAGCAACCTTAAACATTAGAAGAAGAAGAAAGTTGTTTACAGATTACACAGAAGATGAAGAATTCGATTGACGTTTATCATCAAAGTATTTTTCTAACCACACATTCCAAGAAGATAAACATTGGATGAACTTTGAAAAATAAAAAATAAAAATTATCATTATTTTGATAATAACTACCCACACCTATATGGACGGACTCTATATACATGACAGGTAAGCTCAATACATTTTCTAAGAAAACTGTATCTTATCTGAGTATCATATGATTGATAAAAGAAGGTCTAACACTGTCTTTCAACTTCTTTCAGGTTTGAAAAGGAGCTGTAAATAATTATGAAAACACTGGAAACTGTAATAAAGATATGAAGCAAGAGGTGCTTGTAGATTCTGTTGCCAAGGAAACATTGTGAAATATTTCATGACAGCTGTAATAAACAATAACTGACTGGTAAGTTTGTTTTCATTGTACTTAGATTATCATAAGTGTATCATTATAAAATATAATATTAGGTATTTTAATTTAACCTTTTCTTTGTTACAGATTCTACTGGTGAGGTGTTACAGCAGAATACAGGAAGAGACAGTGGACATACAAGGTGGTGTTACAATATTTATACCATATGAACTCTGTGGAACTAAATTCCAAATAAAGGTAGGAAAACTATAATAGTGTTTGTTTTATTATAGCACAAACGAGTAACGTTTAGGTGAGCTTACTTGTTAGGAAAATAAAAACGTTACATCATTCCACACAAGATTTGCACGTAGATAGAGTCTGCGAGGGCAGGCCTTATCGTCTAATTTATTATAAAAAGCATCAATTGGAGGTAGCCGGGTTTCGCTGAAACGCAGAAACGAGTCGAAGTAATCATACGGCATCACACCTTTCTTAGTTAGAAGATGAAGTTGATCTTCGGCGACGCTACAGAATCGAGATCTTAGATTGGGGAATTCGGTTAAATAAGATGCTAACTTGTCCAGAGAGGAATTCATGGAATGGAAGCTGTCGATGAATCTGAACTGAACACAAGTTCCGTCAACATGTTCAGTAAAGGAAATGTACTATCCTTCGTTATGGGCAGTGTTGAAATTTGAAGTATTGTTTTTTGAAGTTGTCAATGTTTTTTAACGTTTGTCAGTGTCTGATTCTTAGGCTATAAATATTTACAGGTTAGTTGTCACTGCCATAATGACAATGTTCAATTTTGAGGTTGATTAATCAGTGACTTAATGTCAATGCTTAAAATATCAATTGTTTCAAGAACAAAATAGTTGAATGTGAGGTTCTCATAGGAATCAATATAGACCACCAGTAAATAATAAATAAGGACAGAAATATTATACTGAAAGGAAATAAATACATTTTTGGAAAATCTGTGTATCCTGACTCATTTGAACATTGTGCTGGTCATTTCGACCCGGATAAGGACATCATTTGAGGGTTAATATCATTATAGGTGCGTATCTGAACATTGTGCTGGTCATTTCGACCCGGATCAGAACATTATTTGAGGGTTAATATCATTATAGGTGCGTATCTGAACATTGTGCTGGTCCTTCAAGCTCCTTTGAACAGTTTCGAAATATAGTTCACGATGATGACTAGGAGTAAATCAGTTAAACCTAGGAGCAAAACGGCTTCATATTTAGTATTGGATGAAATAAGGACTGAAGATGTAGAAAATATAACAGGTACTTCTAGTCAGAATGAGAATAGGTGTCCAGATCGCAAAAGCAAGAAATCGTCGGCAACCAAGGCAAGTTCGGTCAGGCGTAGAGAATTAGAAGCACAGATCAAAGCCGTTGAAGAAATGGCGCAGCTCCTAGCAAAAGAAGAAGATATTATTGCAAGAAGAAAGCAAGTAAGTCAACGACTCCTGGAGAATAGATTATCATTGGAAAGGGTTTGCGAAGAAGAAGATTCTAAAGAAGGTTCGCAAGATGGGTGTAGCAGTCTATCAGCAGATGCCACTTTCAAAAAGGTCAGTAGTTGGTTAAATACTCACGAGGAGGAAAGAAAAATTAGAGTTCAAGAAGAACATAGAGGTTCCGATTTACCAATTCAAGATATAACACATCTGCTAGCAAGACAAAACATAGACAAAGATTTACCTATTTTCAGCGGGAATATAAGGGAATGGCCAAGTTTTTATAACCAATATATATCTACTACTAAAGTTTTAGGTTCATCTGATGACGAGAATTTATGCAGATTGAGGAAATGTTTGAAGGGCGATGCAAGACGTGCTGTAGAGGGATTACTATTATCAAGCTTGTCAATACAGTCCGTCATACAGATTTTGCAGAACAGATTTGGGCGTCCTGATCTCATCGTGAGATCTTTGGTTCAAGATCCAAAACAACTTGCTATTGTAAGGAATGGTGATTTCAAAGGTCTGATTCACTTCTCCGAAACTATTGCTAATTAAGTAATTACTTTAGAAGTCATGAACATGAAAGATTATCTCAATTGTCCACAGTTATTAGAGGAGATGATTAAGAAATTACCTTACAGCATGCAGTTATCTTGGGGAGAACAAGTGGTGAAGAACCAGGGTAGAAATTCATTGCAGGAATTCAAATGCTGGCTGTGGAGGAAGTCGGAAGCGGCAAGCTACACACAGGATCTGAATCCACGAATGAACACATTCAAGGATAATAACACATAACACATAAAAAAGATGAATGGCCAAGGAAAGATACATGTAAGTATTGCACCAAAGCTCATAATATTGATAAGTGTGATGCTTTTTCGACATATCGGTAGACGATAAATGGAAATTCATCAAAGAAGAAGGAATATGTTTTTCATATTTGAAAGGATCTCATTTGATAGGAAAATGTTCTCGGAAACAACGATGTGGTATTAATGGATGTAGCAGATTTCATAACAGACTTCTGCATAACGAAAATTTGTCAAATTATAGGAAAGATGACAACGGGCTAACAGAAGTAAAACAAGCTGAGGAACAGGTTCAGGTTGTTGCTCACACGTCCAAGGATTGTATAAATGAAGTTCTCTTGACAATAGCACCAGTAATTATCAAGTCACCATGGAAGAAAATATCAATATTTGCGCTTTTTGATGAAGCATCTACAGTTTCACTCTTAGATGAAGATTTGGCTGATGAACTAGGACTGGAAGGAGACGTTACAGACTTGGGATTGAAGTGGACTGACAAAAATTCTACCAAACGTATCAAATCGAGGAAAGTAGAATTTGAGATTGCAGGAGGTGAGATTATTTTTTATAGTCTCTCGAATGTTTATACTTTCAGAGGTTTAGATTTGCCTGTGCAGACAGTGAACAGAAAATATCTTGAAATAAATGGAATCATTCAGATCAAGTTGACTTTGCTAGTTATAAGTCAGCTAAGCCTCAACTTCTAATTGGGCAGGATTACTGGGACCTAATCACTAGCAGAGAAGTGATAGAAGGACCCAGAAATGCTCCAGCTTTATCAAAGACAAGATTGGGATGGATTGTCCATGGTAATCTCCAGTTATTTCGAAACAGAGTTGATGATACAATAGTTTTACATATACATCAGCAAAAGGAGCTGGACGATTACGAGCTACATGAAGAAGGTAGGAAATCATTTTCAGCAGAAACCTTTGGAGTCAGAATCCCAGAGAAGAAAATTCAGTCGAGGAAAAATCAAAGAGCAGAAGAAATGATGGAAAAAACAACAATAAGAGTTGGAAATCGATGGGAGACAGGATTGCTTTGGAAATATGATGAAGTAGTTTTGCCTGAAAGCAAGCAGCTAGCATTTCAACTTCTTCAGTATGTCGAGAGGAGGATGAAGAGAGATGAACAGTTTGCAGAAAAATATAGGGACAAGATAAAAGAATATCTAGACAAAGGATATGCTAGACGAGTCTCAGATAACGAAATTGAAATGGTGAAAGAAAGAGTTTGGTATTTGCTCCACTTTGGAGTGGTCAATGGAAACAAACCAGGTAAAATACGTTTCGTTTTCCATGCTGCCGCGAAAGTAGGAGGAAAAAGCCTGAACGACTATTTATTAAAAGGACCTGATTTGTATAATTCATTGATTGGAATGATTTGGGAATTCAGGGAAAAATTCTTTGCGTTCGCAGCAGATATTCGTGAAATGTTTCCACAAATCAAGATAAGACAGGAAGACCAAGCAGCTCAGAGATTTCTCTGGAGAAATGAAGAAACTAAACAATTGGAGGTATATGCTATGCAGGTTATGATATTTGGAGCAGTTTGTTCACCTTATGCTGCTCAGTATGTGAAAAATAAAAATGCACTCGTATATAAAGAAGAGTATCCAAGGGCAGTCGATGGAATATTGAAACGCCACTATATGGATGATTATTTGGATAGTGTAAACACTAAGGAGGAGGCAATCCAATTAATACATCAAATAATAGCCATACATGAAAAAGGTGGCTTCAAATTGAGAAATTGGATAACAAATGATGAAGACATATTTTCGAGCATATCCACTGAGCTAAGATGCAGCGACAAAATATTTGAAAGAGAAGGGTACCAAAGAATTTTAGGAATGATATGGAGTCCGAAAGATGATAAGCTGAAGTTTGCACTAACTTTTCACTAAGTGAAGAAGGAGATTTCAACGGGTGATAAGACACCTACAAAACGCGACATACTAAGAGTTATAATGTCATTGTTCGACCCTCTTGGATTATTGGGACATTTCATAATAAGGGCCAAAATTCTAATGCAAGATATCTGGAGAAGCGGAATTAATTGGGATGACGAAATCACGAGAAAAATGTACACAAAATGGAAAGCATGGATATCATACTTTGATGCTCTGCAAAACCTGGAAATAGAGAGATGTTACAATATTGATAATTGGAATGATTTTACTACAGATCTACATGTATTCTGTGATGCCAGCGAACAAGCAATTTGTGCAGTAGGTTACTTGAGGATTTCGAAAGATAACAAAGTAAGAATATCTTTGGTTATGGCCAGGACACAAGTTGCTTGAAACCAATGACTATTCCAAGATTGGAGCTTCAAGCAGCAGTTATTGCTAGTAGACTCGCTCTGACAATCAGAATGGAACACACGGTGGAAATATCAAGAACTTTCTTTTGGTCAGACTCAAAAACAGTGCTATGGTGGTTGAGATCAGAAGCTAGAAACCATAAGACCTTTGTAGCTCATAGAATTGGTGAGATACAAGAGAATAGTAATTTAGACGACTGGAACTGGGTACCATCGACTTTGAATGTATCGGATGAAGGAACGCGAGATGATAGAGATATGGATATAACTCATTCAAGTAGATGGTTCAAAGGACCCGAATTTTTATATTTAGCTCAAACTGAATGGCCAGAAGAAGACAAAACTGGAAAATTGGAAAATATAGAATTGGAGTTGAATATTCATAGAATACTCGTGGAAACTGAGGTCAACGTGACAAGCAGTTCACCAGATATTCAGCATTTTTCGTCTTGGATCAATAAGATCAACATCATATGTGTTAAGATTCATTGCTTGTTTGAGAGCGCGACAGAAGAAAGAAAAATCAACAGAAGGAGACTTGAAAATAGAGGAAATACAACATGCAGAATTATTATGGTGTGAACGAGTACAAAATGATTGCTTCGGAGAAGAGATCCATGATTTAAAGAAGAATAAATTCGTGAACAAATCCAACAAGTTGTTTCAACTTTTCCCTGTATATGAAAATGGACTGATAAGAATGAAAGGAAGGACAGATATGTCTCCAGAATTGAACGACGATACTAAACACCCCATAATTTTAGGAAAACATAGGTATACGTATCTGTTGATTGATAATTACCATAAGAAGTTCAAACATGCAGGACTTCAGTTGGTATTGAATGAAATAAGACAAAAATTCTGGTAAATACAAGCTAGAAAAATGGTATGGAAGGTATTGAAAACTTGTAATTTATGTAAAATCCGCAAAGCCCAACCTAGAATTCCTGAAATGGGCCAGTTACCGTATGATAGACTTACCAGACCACCAAGACCTTTCACCTACGTTGGTATGGATTTCTTTGGACCACTGAGGGCCGGTTTATCAATTACAATTTATCTGTCAGTTAAAGCTTAACTACCAGTTTTATTGGAAAGGTCGGTTTATCTACACCAGGGTAACTTTATCCGGCAGTTAAAATGTCAAATATTCATCTGTAAGTTTTAACTGGCGGATAGTCGATATCTGGAGGTTAATGCCTGTACATAACCTTACTTTATTGAGTTGTTTTGATTTCCTAGCTTTCTGGTGTGACAAAAAAGTTAAAAATGGAGAGTACTAGTAGTTCTACAAAGAAAAGAGGATGCAATCTCACAGCAGAGGAGAAAAATTTGCTGATTAAAATAGCGAATCAATACAAACGTGTGATTGAAAATAAAAAAAACAGATGGGGTGTTCGTACTCAAGCACTTGCACAATATCTTCGTCCTCGTCGCTATCCAGAATATAATTATTTAAAAAATTCATATTTATCAACAACCAAAAACTCATAAAACAGAAAACCTCGAAAACAATCAACAATAACCTAACAAAACGGTCGTGACTACTCGTGATCGGTCGTGATGTGACATGACCTTGTTCTTGTAACAACTTGGTAACAACCAATGAGATTGCTTACATTTATTCATCAGCATTGCCAACTTTCATTATCTGGCAGTTGATTAACTGGAGAATAAAAATGAGTTGATAAACCACTTCCAAACAAACTGGAAGTTTATCTGCTAGATATTTTTATCTGACGGATAACTAACTGATGGATAATATTGGCAATTGATAAACCGACCCTGTGTATAACGGTAGGACGAAGAAAAGAAAAGCGTTATGGATGCATATTCACATGCCTTTCCATTCTCGCCATACACATTGAATTGGCGGAATCCTTGACTACAGACTCAACTATATTAGCCATTCGGAGATTTGTAGCTCGTCGAGGTCAGCCCAAGACAATCTGGAGCGATAATAGCACAAACTTGAAGGCAGCTGAGAAGGAACTTCGTGAATGTTTGAAAAATATTCAACCGGAGGCTGTTGGGAAGGAACTGTTGAGTCAAGAAATAGCATGGAAGTGGCTTCCACCAGCGAGTCCCAACATGGAAGGAGCTTGGGAAAGATTAATCAGATCGGTTGAAGAAACTTTGAAAATAATCTTAAAGGAGAGGTCACCTAGACAAGAAGTTTTATTGACTGTATTGATGGAAGCTGAACATATAGTAAACAGCCGCCCTCTTACATATGTATCTCCCAACGGAGAAGATTTAGAAAGCTTGACACCCAATCATTTTCTCATTGGGACATCTAGTATTGTGAAATCCCCAGGTATATTTGAAGAAAAATTATGCCTGAAGAGGCAGTGGAGATTATCACAACAGTTCGCCGATCAATTTTGTAACCGTTGGATTCGTGAGTATTTACCAACT